GGATGGATACCAAGACGATGACGAGCGACCGACGGCTCTCGTGTGGAGGGAAGGAGGAGTGCCTCGGTCGGGGCTCCTAGAACCGGAGAGCTTCATGGACAGCTCCAGCTCGATCACACGCGACGAACGCTCCCTCGAGAACGGCCACCAACCTCAGCGTCATCCTGGCCACTTTTCTTCCCATGAGGCGCGCGATCTTGACCGGTTTCCTACCGACGATCGTCGTCATCTTCGCAAGAAAAAATCCATCGGCCATCGTCATACTCTCTCTAATTTGGACAATCCTTCCTCTACCTCTAGTAATGGTTACGATCCATCCGGAATGAGAGACCCTAATCTAAACAGCTCGAAAATCGTTCGAAGGCAAACTAGTCAATCTATTCGTAATCATCATCATCATCGTGACGATCATCGTCATAATCATCATCAACACAACGAAGAAGACCCTTACTTCATTCGCAGAGCTTCCTCTATCCATGGTCATCCTTCCTCTTCCTCAGCTTCTCACTCTAAATTCGGGCCCTTAGGTTCCCCTACTTCTACGAAATCCTTCTCTCAAAAACTCGGCTTCGGCTCGACCAAAAAGACCGAAAAGAAAAACAGGTTCGTATATCCTTTGCTTCTCTCTCGATTACGATTGATCGTTTTTTGTTGATTGTTTTCCTTCTTGTAGGTTTGATTTGACTAATGAAGCTCGAAGTCAATGGGAAAACTTACCCCACTCCACAAGACACTCTACTCCACACCCCAAACCACTGAACCATAATGATCTCAATAATGATGATTGCTTGAACCATCAATTCTAAGCCCCCCCCCCCTCACACACATAAACTCTCCTTCCTTGCCCCTTCATCATCATGATTTCTCACAATCAACTTTTTCTTCTTTCTCTCTCTCTCTCTCTCTCTCTGTACTTGTTTTTTTATCAGTTAGTTTTCTCTTTTTTTTGTGTGTGATTTGTGACTATGATATCTGATAAAAAAAAGAAGCTTTACATACAATATATATACAACAACAACAAATGAAAAGGAGGATGTTTGAAAAAAAAAAAAAAAAAAAAAACTTAATTTACATATCATAGGGGTTTTGTTTTGCATTTACTTATGAAGAATGTTGTGCTTGTGTTGACTGACCAGTAGTGATTGTAATCAATATATGAATCAAAATGTGTTTGTGTGAGTGTTACAGATGGACATTGGATATACATAAACAAGGAGAAGACAAAAAGATGGGAATATGTCATGGGGCGAGTTCTAAGAAACCGCGCCCATCCTGTAGATGAAAAGCCTCTAGAGGAAGTGCTCACAGCTTCTGAAAGATGTGCTGGTTGACAAGCATCATGTGGATGCTTCTGATAGCACTCAAGTGATACTTGCTGTGGAAAAGCATCCATGAGACCCTACAAAGGATGGTACATGGGAGATACTCTCTGATCAAGGGTGTCTGATGGACACATGTAGTTTCCTACACAGTCACTCTGCTGCACCCATCCAAGTGCAGGGTTTGACACCTAAGGCTGGTCTGCTGGCACCCGAATGGTGCCACCCGGGTGTTCAACCCATGGTTGGGTTATTGGGATGGGGCCTTGGCACCACCCGGGCACCCGGGGGGTTTGGTAATAATACTCAGTAACACTCTGGAGGGCAAAGTGACAAGGAAGTTATTTATTTTTCATATTTTAGGGAGACTTGCTTGTGTATCAAGGCTCTATTGGTGGATGAGAACTATGTTTTCTTATTGTTACGTGAAAAAGGAAGGTATAATTGTGAGAATAGACCTGATGTATAATGAAAAGTGAGAAAGATGAATAGTGAGCCGACTAGGGTGGTTGCTTTACAGCGGACTATCAAGGAGTTGATACCACTCCTTGAGAACAAGAAGCCCTTTGATCGTTTCTGGCTCGAGTGATGAGCGTTGCCAAGAGACAATTTGACATCCTTTTGAGACAACTCGTTTGGAGGCGGCGCTTGTGGCAGGAACAGTAAGATATCGATGGGCCATTGCTAACAAGGTAGGAAACATCTTCTGTTGATTTGCCTAGTATTTGCTGTTTCTTCTGGGAGGAGTTTCTTGCGCGCTTCATTCTGTTGTCTCTCTGAGTTGCTGGTGGGACTGTAGACTTTACGCTAGATGTAGAAAGGAGAGGCTCTAGGAGTTGTATGACTACTCCCTCAGACTGCAGAGTCCCTCTTGCTCTGAAGTCAAAAAAAGCTTGGATCCACCCGGGTAGGGGGGTTCTAACTCTTAGACAGGAGGGCCAAGACTTGCCCATCAGTAGCCCTGGCCATTTTGCCACAAGAAGCTCATCATGGATCAGTGTGGCCAACCTGGACATAGTGGGAGTACGGCCTGTTAGTAAGTATGAAGAACTAAAGGTGTTACACCAGGAAAAAAGATGTGGCACCCAATAGTGGGTGCCTTTGCTTATCCCAGCCCCATCATTTGGTTTATCAATGACTGTATATATTCCCTATATCTGTCATATTTCTGACTTGATCTGTGTCTTTATCTACCCAGTAACCCCAATTGAATTACAATGCATTTCAGAAGGATCATCTATGCAGCTCATACATCAGGGTTGAATGAATAAAAATGATTAACCTAATTGAGAAAATTTCATGTTGGGAACACAATCATCCTCAAATTTTATCTTTCATCTCTCCCCCAACAATTTATGATTGAAGATAAAAACAATTTATAAATTGGGAGTTTTTTTGATGAAATTCTGACTAGTTTGTGGAAGATTTTTAACTCCAACTAGGCTGATCTCTAGTTTAAAATTTACCACTTCCAATGTTATATTCAATTGGCATTGTGTTTCCCATACAATCAGTGCCCACTTCAACAAATCAGTTCTATGAGGATAATTCATATTCCACAAGACAAATCCATTTTTCTCAGGATAAAAAATCATAATATTTGACTCCTTGAAATTTAAAGTATGTTTTTGGTGAAAATTTTCAGTATCCAAAAATTATAAGATCCCATCTGGCTGTGATTTGTATATCAACTCTCCAGCTCCTGTGAAGATAAAAAAATGAAAAAATTATGATTTAAATTGTGTTTTGGATTCAACTGGGATATTAAAACACTTCATGGAAGGAACATTCAATAAACTTAAACTAACTCATAAAAGTTAAAACTTATAAAACTGCACATTTGATTTTCTTCCACACTCCCCAAGGATGCAGAAAAAAAAAGAGTACATGAGGAGAAGCAATGAGGTGGCTGGAATGATTATCATAAAAAGCCAGAAGCACCTTTCTGTTTTTCAGTTCATTTTAATGATTCCTAGTATCAGGAAATATGAGTATAAGTCAGTACATCATGGAAAGGGAATCAGGGATTCATGTGAGTATCTTTCCTCCTACCAACTCACCATAAAATGGACTAAATTTAAAACTTCACAAGAAGCACAATAAAACACACAATAAACCTCCCAAGAGTGAAGGATCTTCAAACTCCTCAAAGATAACCTCATGTTTGGAAGATTTTTCCAAGGAATTTCTTATGGATAGTTAGACTATTGCTAATCCCTGTAAAAATGGAAATATTCAGGCGCACAGATTTCAAGAAGTTAGCAGCTTGAGCCCCAAGATTTGATGAATACTTTAATTAGATAAATGATTTCATGTATTTGTGTGAGAGTTCAATGGGATTCTTCTCACATCTTAAACCTGTGTAGATATGTTGCTACAGATTTTCATCATTCATTGGAATTCAGAAGATTAAACATCAACACCACTGAGTTAAATCTCTGAATATACTTTCACATAATATCCTGTTTTTTTTTTCTACATTGAAACCAATTGATAAAAGAGAAAAGTGGGGAATATCCATTTGGATTATTCACTGGTATGCAGAGGAGGATTGGATAGCTCATTCAAGACTAACAAAGAAAAGTGTCCAAATCCCTCAGTTGAAAACGATATCAAAACTTTTTCATCCGACCTGATAAGCCCATTGAGAAATAAAGTTTTGGATTTTACTGACTGTCCCTATCACACAATATCTTATTGGACATGGTGTACAATTTCATTGCTACAAGCCCACAAGGAAAGCACCATTCAGTATTTCTTTTTTCCAATAAAAAATATTATGCTTGAAAGAAAGTTGGTGAGGTAAATTTTTTGTTTTCAATTGGTACTCTCCCAGAATTTCAATTATTAGGTTGGAAATTTTGACATATACCAACAACCTCACATGATTTTAGCTCCAAGTTTAATTTTTTTCAATTTTGAAAATGACTTGGATGATTCAATTAACATATCCTACAAGTATCTTGAGTATTATTTAAAATTTTGTATGGCTGCCTGTCATGAAATCCTTGTTTGTTATAAATGAATTCGTGAGGAATAGGTATCTATCCATCACACATCCAAATGCCCAAGAATTTTAAAAAAAAAACGATTCCATATAACAAAACAGGCATACATACATAATTGCAAATATTTACATGAATCTAGTTCACCTCAGTTAATGATATCAAGTGAGGTATGCTCAAACAAAGTTTGGACACTTCTGAGAAACCTGTGATGCGGGGATATGGACATGTTTGATTTGGATCAGTTTAGTATTAACAGTGCAAGGAGTTGATATCACCAAACAAAAAGGCCCAAAGTTTGGAAAATAATGGGACAAGCAACTTCCAAGCACCTAATATCTGACAGGGCATGGTCTACGTCACACATGTGGATTAGTCGTTTTGGATCTTATATTGACAATCTCATTCCTCCGTCTTCTAAAACTCACCCAATAACCATACCTCAACTAGTATCGTTTAGTAATCTAGTACCAATTCTGTTAACATCAACCCCAGCAAATACCTGATCAATCATTCAGGAATGTCTTCAATATCCTGCTTAGGTTTTTTTATCACGCCTGTCATCCTCACTCCCTCCTTCAACTCATCTCAAATTGGACTTCAAGACGCGGTGTTTCATCGAGGAAGGTATAATATACATGTAGTTTGTTCCAATTACGAAAAGGTTGGTGACTTGGCTGAAAACCAAAGCAAACATCTTGGCCCCTTGATTGGTGGTATTGGAAGTGTTTCCGAACCAATTACTCTGAAGGCACTCCAAAAAAAGGAAAATAAAATATATCTCCGAATTTTTTATGTACATCCCTCAATGCGGACAGGATCGTTTGTACATGGATTTGTATTTGCTCGACAAAATTTGATTTCGGAAGTGAGGAACTCTTTCTGCCTCGCAAATATTGCTCTCAAGCAAATACCAAGCTATGATCCCGGTCATTTTCTGGGTGTACAACAGAGTGAAGACATGGTACAACCAACGGCTATTGAAGAAGACAATCGGCACACCATCCAAGGCTGCAAAACAAAGCTAATGGATCATCAAATGAAAGCAATCAAATTTATCCAACGAAGCGAATCCACTCTCGTCTCAACACCACTAGAGATCTGGAATGATCCAGATAATCGATGGGTCCATATAGTCTTTGAAGATGCTGTTCAGAAAGGGTATCTCAAAAGAGATGTCAAATTTGATGCGAAAGGATGTATTCTTGCGGACGATATGGGTCTAGGAAAGACCTTGACGACTTTATCAGCCATCCAACTATCAAGTGAAGAAGCCTTACAATTCTCCCGTCAAGAACCAAATGTACCATATTTGATGCCCACCTCAGCCACATTGATAATCTGCCCACTTTCAACCCTGGAGAACTGGAAGAACGAAATTAATATACATTTCATAAGAGATAGCCTTCCTTTTAAAACATTTTACGGTAGAGATAAATGTACGATCGAATTCAAAGATATTGCCCAAGTCGCAGTTGTGCTGGCAACATACGAGTCAGTAGTGACACAAATCAAAAGTAGTCAACAGGAAGGAAGTCGAAACGCTACTGAAGGCAGAACAATGGGTTTAGATTTTTCAAGTATCAAATGGTTTAGAATTGTTCTTGATGAAGCACAGTAAGTAAACCAAAATCCTAAACCATAATCAAAATTTTAATACTGAAATTAGTGTATGTACAGTTACCTGAAGGATCCAAGGACAAATAGG